ATTTCCCACGGAGGACGAGAAATTTGAACCGCAATTTGAAGCGCGCGCTTAGCAACCTCCTAACAATTCAGTGTCAAATGTCATTTTGCTTGAGTCTGTGCTAAGATCGAGAAGACGTAAGGATAGAGGAATTTAGTTTTGTCAGATGTATCAAATAACAGGGTATAATGTGAACAATACACACCAATGCACACCTCACATAACCGGTTTATTAGTCTATTTTTGCACAAAAGCGTCCCATTTTGTGCGGAGACAATCTGCTAGTGGGTTGGACTTTGGACAGCTAAGGTTGAAAATGCAGGCCAAGTAAATTTGAACGTAACCTGGAGTACAGAGAATTGATCCGCCAATTGTTACTGCATTATTACTTTTGTTGCCGTTCCCTATAATACAGTTTTCTGTTCCATTTAACCTTCTGTATAGAGAAGAATTATCATTTTGTGAAAAGCATTTACAATGACAACTACAACAGCCGAAAGAACTCCGATGAGCGCCAAATCACAGGCAATGCATCGAGTTCTGTTCTGGATATATGAAAAAACGACAGGCCTGCTTTCATACGGCTTGTTCATTCTTCTAACCTACGCCTGTCTTTGGGGCCTTACGGGGAAAGACGCCAAGAAGCCCGTTTGCCTGAAAGAATGGTCGGAGGAAAGAAGCATTATTGCATGCAGTGGTGGATTAACTTTTAGCTTCTTCGTGTTTTATGCTTCAGCCTGTCTTGGTGGAGCGCTGACAGAACTCGTAGGGTTACCAGATTGGATGGGTCAGTGATGCCATTTTCTTCACCAAATTATTTTGATAATTGATTGTATTGCCGACGAAAAAAGAGAGGTTCCATTAAGGAACTCTTCTGGCCCATTCGTTGTCATTAGGCACTTTCTAACTGAATACTTAACCAAACTAGTTTGTAAATGTCTCTCTCAGACGATATTACATCGTTGCGATAAAAGCAAAACAACTCTACCAAATAAGGATAGAAAAAAGTATTTTTCGGATTACATTTACTATCATTTTCTTCGATCATTTCACCCTTCCACGGTCATTTCTATTTGATCCCTTCTGTTAGAAACTTCTACTTGTCTTTGTTTTCGGGAAGAGGCCGAATTAATTTATGCCGAGTAACTGCTCTTGTTGGAGTCATTCTGACTCTGCTCGAACCGGTTATTGATCTTCTCTCGTCCGATATGGCTCCAACCGCGGTTGACTTCTCCGATAATACCGGGAAGACAAATGATATTCGACTTGCATCTCTGACTAGAAGAACTCGTCCCTGTAGGTTAATGACCACTGAATAGAAGGAGTACACAACGTTAAATACTTAGGACGGGACTGCTACCGAAGGGGCAGAGTACAGATGACAGTGTCTCCCGACTCAGTGTTGCTCACGGGTTTTCTCAATCCACAGAAAGCGTTTAGGGATCTGACGCAACACCTTAATCACCAGAAGGATCCGTGTGTACAGTGCATCCGTCCGGATAGTGCTCCTTTATGGGCATGAATACTGTGCTTTGAATGTGGAAGACGAGCGCAGACAGGATGTTTTAGCCACCGCCGCCTGAGGACCATCCTTCGAAGGATGCATACCTAATTCGTCTCAAATGAGCCATCACACACTCGCTGCAACAGTATCGCAAGGGTTTCTCAGGCCAAGTAAGACGACTGAGGTGGTTTTAGTAAGTTCTCCGTCGTCGGCCTCACGAGATTAACTGCGATTCCCTCGATGTTGCAGTACAACCTATTTGGGTGTGCCGAAGATGTGGGCAACGCAAGTCTTGGCTCGACACTGTTGGCCCTATGGTATCCGTCGCTGGAGTATAGAATGAGTGGAGCTTTCCAGATCTGCTGCCGCCAATCGTCAAGCGTGTAAAGGTACGGTCCGTACGAGTGCGTAAGCATATGCCTCCAAATTGGGACTCAATTCCCGTCGGGTCATCGTCTGCTGCCCGCTGATTACTTTGCTTTACGACCAGCGTCTAGTACGTACGCGCATAAGTCCACAGTCTTGCGGGTTCTTCTCGTCTTTTTTAGAAATATACGTAGAAAAGCTTTTGATAATCGTTGGCAAATTATCTGGAATCCAGCTGGAGTCTCGATTGGTGATAAACAATTAACCATGGAGGAGTATTACCAGCAAGGATAAGACTAACTGAAATTTCCAGTTTTTATTTATTGGTTAGCATCGATCAGCAGCATCACAGCGTCAGGATCCAACGCGCTCGGGGTTTTAAAACGGATTAACTGAACCATTGAGCATTTGAATGCAACACTATCTTCTTGCATGTGGACTCCTATTCAAAGTTCGAACGTGCCGACACTTAAAAATGATGCAGGATTGCATAATGGTCACTAGGTCGAGCCATCAGTTATTATAGTGCGCAGAGGCTGTTGCCTTTTGCGAATGGTTCAAAGGTCAATACAAGTAGTTCAGACCACTGGACGATACTTTCCAACTGCCAAGGCAGAAACGAGAAAATAGACACGCCTGGAGATAGTTTAAGACACTGTTTGACCATTTCCAGAATCAAAATGCGACTAGCAATTTGCAAAGACTGTACGAAAATAAACATCAACAAATGATGTTGATCATATGAACAATGACTGCGGCCTTCTATCGATATGTATATATAGATATTGAGAAGAGAAAGGCTTCTTTAGGAATCTTTAATATGTGAATTTTCGAGGCTGGTTCCCAGCTCGTCGTCGGACTATGGGATGTGTACAAGAACACATCCCATATTCAAACGAAGAGCTGAGAAACCAGCCGCAAAAATTCACAGATTCAAGA